ACACCTGTACTATACCAATTACGGTAATATTACGTTGCGTGTGACACCATGCCTTCAATGACGACGAATAACGGAAATGACGTGTCTTTTCAACGTTTATGGTTTCACGTGATATTCACGTGACTCCTGCCAGTGTATATGTATATATTAGCATACTCAAGTGATGAGCCGCCATATGCACACGGCTCGCCAACAATTCACACGGCACCTCCGTCCGAAATTTGAATCTGATTTGTCATTGACGGAAAGTTTACACGCTTTTGTGACTGGTTTTAAGTTGCTAGATTCCAAAAAACCCTAATTTTGCGCTGTCTCGCCTCGATTTCCAGTTGTAATCTTGCTTTTCGCCACGCGGACTGCTTCTTGTTGCTGCTTCGCCATGTGCCTGGGACAAACATACTGAGCTTATTTCGATTTTGTTCGCGAATATTTCACACCACTGTGAATTTGCTGTGAATTCCCAGTGATCGCGTTTGATCTCCAGATCAACTAACTCGTCAAAACTTCTAAACAAGCAACTTGGGGACCTTATCTGGAGCAATGGTCGCTTGTTTGCTCTGTTGTGTGTTTATGTTTTTCAACCATCACCACCACGTTCGCTGCCAACACCAATCGGCCCGTCAAGCTGTTCCCACAGTTATCGCTGGTACTTCTCCGGGACTAGCTTCCCAGTATCACGTTGTCGAGAACACCGGACAATTTCCAGTCACGACAGAGCGAACGAAAACGTCGACTTGCGAGCTACCGGGGGACACATTCGGCGGCGACTGCCTCCAGCACGTCTTTGAGAAATACGGAGAAAACGGCGTAATGACTTTATCGGGGTTTGAGAAGTTACTGCGCAGTATCGGACTGTCCGAAAGTAGCAGCGACGAAGAACACCACGATGACGATGACGACCACCATGTCGAAGACGATTACGAAGCAGCTCGAAAGCAGTTCGAAGATGCGTTGCAAAGAAAGAGTATGTCGCTGTCGCAAAAAACCGGCACAAATCGAGAATCGGTCGACGACGTTAGGATCGTGGACGACGCCTCGATGTTGAAAGATACACACAAACTCTCAACTAGAAGTGCGCATACAAATACAGAAGAAAACGATCTCCAGTATTCCAAGTTGCCTGGTAACAGCCGAATTAAACGAGGAGACGATTTTCAGATGACATATAACGATCTTTCCGAGAGCAAAGACGAGAGTTCATCATACTCAGATGGTCTGGATGTGTTATCTGAACACGAACACGGAGGAGAAGATGATACACATCAGGTAATTTTTAAAACCATCATTAATAATGAAATTAACCTTTTGAACATTAAAGTCAGTTTTCACCCCTTCTATAAAATATACCTCTCTCATATTTCCCAAACTAATTTGTTTAAAAAACATTGCTCAAGATTTTGATTTGGCCATAAATTAAAAATGAAAATGAAAAAATATCATTTTGGGTTAAATACTATTTTTCATACAAAAATTCATTATTCATTAATTAATTCATTCATTAATTCATTAATTAATTACAATTTTGAAACATTAAGTTAATTAAAAAAAAAATTCTCAAAGTACCCCCCCCCCCTCAAAAAAAAAAACTGAGTTGTGCTAAGAAAGAATTCCAGCAGAGTTAAATTTGTTGTTTTATAAGTATCAATAATATGACTAGGTACAAAATAATTACATTTCTCATTTAAATATCTAATGGAAAATGTCTCATTTAATTTTTCCGTAATACTAATTAATGTATTTTTAATGAAGAAATCATCTTTTTTTTGAAAGAAGATAATTAATCTATAAAAGGAGAATTATTAATTAAACAGATTAGTGAAGTGTCACATTTCTCATTCCGGGAATAAATGTGTGCCTATCATTGGGTTTTAAGCGAAAAAGCACAGCGGATGTGCGCAATAGTCGGCGAGACGTAGTCACATCATTTAACAAACTTTTGTATCCGAACAGCTGTTATAACTCCTTTGTTTATGTTATAATACCATTGATTGTAAAAAAAGTAAATACACGGATAGTGGGAAAATAGGCAGTGCAGTTAGTACACTATGAATGCTTGTATTTCAGTTCTGCTTGGGAGGTTCACAAGAATGCAGGTTTTGTCTAAACCGGGGAACAGGGGCGCAGCGCCCTGATACTCTTGGCTGGTACCCTTTTACCGAATTGCCGATTGAACTTTTAAGTCATAAATATATTTCTTGAGCGGCGCACTTCTGTGCTGCCGTACAACATGAAATCTTTCTCAAATATATTTTTTCTTTGTGAAAACTTCTCAGCAACACCAGCTGACGATGTGTCTGGGCACCAAATACGCTAAAATTATTCCAAAAATATTTCAATGGCGATAGATACACCGTTAAAACGGTGCAGAAACTTTCCGATAAGACGTTTTCAAGTCGATCCGCCATGCTGCTCTCACACCGATAGGCCAATGCAATTACAGCATTTTAATAATGGACAGCGCGCAGAATTAAAATGCAAAATAATTAGGACAACATTTGTAATTAAATTTATAATTAATGAAAAATTTAGCTATTTTTGAATAATATTAAATAACATGTAGAAAATTGTTGTAAATTGTAGAATTGATAAATGAAATTACTATACACATAATTGGTAGTGTGAATTCCTGAAGGACGAACCAATAATTTCCGCCTCTTGAGTTGAGTATTCTTCATCAAGCCCCCACGGGACTGACCGATATTACTGCTAGGAGATACAATTTTTTTTTTATTATTTTAATCATCAGGCATTTCTCTAAGAATTTATTTATTTCTGATAAAATTAAATACTTTATTTTTTCTGTATTTTTTTTTATTCTAGCCAATACTTTCCTTGACAGAAAACAAAATGGGTTATCCCTAAACACTGTGAAAAAAAACAATTGCCCAAAAATGTCGCAAATTATTCTCCCCCCCCCAGGAAAACACTAATTTTGTCTATCATGGATGGTTTATATGGATCTTTATTAATATTTTTCGCATTACAAACGATATTAGCTATAAGTGTACAGTCGCTTGGCAACTGTCTCCACAGTCTCATTACAAACTAACAATTACTGTAAAATACTTTATTTTTGCTTGGAATTAATTTTCGCTGAAGGAATGATTCAGTGAAAATATAAATCCAGCGAATATACCTTTTTTCCTGCAGCTTACTCATCAGAAATCATTTAAAATAATTTCTGTACAAAACACCCACAAAATCTTCTCAGCAAAAATTAATCCCAGCTAAAATAAAGTATTTTACAGTAGTCTTTTTAATTGTGGTGGTGGTGTTGTTTGTGGTTGTGGTAGTCGGGGGATTGATTATTTTCCATTTGTACATTTTTATATCAGTTGTTAGAACTCCATGTGAGGTTTTTTCATTGGAATGTTCTACGAACTATGGAGAATTTTCTTTTTAAAGGATGTTTAAAAATTGCAGACCGAGTGTATCCCTTTTTTAAACATAATTTATTTGCATTAATTACTGTGAAATCATTTATTTTCACTGGAATTAATTTTCACTGAAAAGACTTTTTGGGTGTTTTGTATGGAATTTATTTTCACTGATTTGAGTTGAGTGTAAAATATAGAAAAAAAGGTATATTTGCTGGATTTTATTTTTACTAAATCATTCCTCCAGCGAAAATAGCGAAAATTAATTCCAAGCGAAGATAAAGTATTTTACAGTAACAAAGTAAAATGAAATAAATGAAATCCAAAATTACAACATTGGCCAAATGGCCACACATAATTAAATATCTTCGGGCTTAAAATTTTGCATGAAATAAACTGTCCACGGAATATAGAAATACCATTACCACAATTACAGAATTTTATTTATTTGATTTTAACCTGTATATTTAATGTGTAAATCTTCAAAAAATATGTTGAATGGAAAAAAGTTTGACATGTTCAAAAATTTGTG